ATAGTGTTGTGTTCACGTGTGGGGCTCCAGAGCCCCCGAGAAACACCCGAACCCCCCCAAGGTTTTTGTTTGTCAGTCGTTTTCCGCTGTGTTTTTTTCTGTGTGTGGGGCGTTTTCCGAAGGAGTTTTCAGAAATAATGTTGTTTTTGCACGTGGGGCCCCCAAACCATTGAAAACCACCGAGTTGGAGAATTGTTCACGGGGGGGAAGCCGGACAAAACCACCGAAAACCAACCGAACTTACTCCAAGTGTTTTTTGTTTTTTGAGGGCTTGCTGGGGGCTTTCAATAATAGTTTGTTTCTGTCAGTGTGGGGCCCAGGAAACTTAGAAACAACCTTTGAACAAACCCCCAAGTTTGGTTTTGTCAGTGGTTTCCCTTCCGACAAAAACCTTAGGAGAACCACCGACAAATCCCCGAAACACCTCCGTTGTTTTGCGTCTGTTTTGTGGTTATGGGGTTCCCCCTCCCGAATTTGTTTTTTAAATTCATGGAAAAACCATAGAATAACTCCCAAACAACCGCACAAACACAACAAACAGAAACTCCGAATTGGGGGTTCCCGGGGTGGTAGCCCGAATTGCGATTTGAAGGGGTTTGCCCGCTCCTGGGACCCCCCCAAGAAACAAAGAAAAAAGCCCAATGATTTTTGCCCCTGTTGTCTTGTGTTTTTGTGTGTGTGTGTGCTGTGTGTGTGTGTGTGTGTGTTTTGTTCGGGTTTTCCGGAGGGTGTTCCAGAAACAAAATGTATGTTTAAGTGTCGGGCCCCGGAAACCCTTCAACAAAAACCCAAGCCCCTCCCCCTCACCCGGAATTTTGGGGGACAGAAGAATTGAACAATTTCCCAACTCAGGTTTTTGTTCGGGATGTTTTTAGGGGGTGCCCAGGGAACTCCCACACGGGTATCCGTGAAGCGGTTTCTGGGGGTCTTCGGTACAACATGCTATACTGGTGCACGCCACGCGCATCGCACACTTGAAGACACTACCGAACAAGATCATCCGCACTGCAGCTCTCCCGCCATGGGGCTCGATCGAACCGTGCTTCCAACAGTGCTTTCTCCTGCCGGGAACTGGAATCCCGACGAACGCACACGTCCCCCGTCGCAACAGAACAACCGTCAGACGGCACAACTTTAGCATCACCGGAAAACCGGACACGAAGAGTCACGAGAAGGGGAGATATGGATGCGTGGTGCAAGATACACAATCAGCACGAAAGAGCGATCTGTCTCTTGCAGACTGCGCCCCGCACGCCCTCGAACCCGAGGGACGGGCCAGGGTTTGCATGCAAGGTGAGCGCCCGCTTTGCTACGGCGTTTCCCCAGACCGCCAACGGCGGCCTCCCCGGCAACTCGGGAAGCAGCGGGGGGAAACACTTGTCAGTTCAGACGGCATGGGAACGAATCTGCTGAACGCGCTCGTGCCGACGTCAAGCGACGAGGGTGGGAAGACAACCAGAACCCCGCGAAGCATGTCTGGAAAGACACCGCTCGCACGACCCGAGCTGCGCCTTCGACCCCGTGGGCTGCCCGCTGCGTCCGGTACCCGGCGGGTACCTCGACGAGTTGAGACCGATGTCCGCGAGGGCCCGGGACTCCCGATTCAGCGCTTGCGCGCCCACCGGACCGTTGCCAGCCCCAGGATCCACGGGGCCTTGCGTGGCACGCGTGGTCAAGAGGCTGCTGTCCTGCGTGGTCTCGGCCTGCAGGTCGCGCCACGCGGCCAAGGCCTCGGGCGTGACGGCCTTGTCCTTCTCCTCGCCGAGCTCGATGCCCACGAGCGAGGGCGATCAGCTCCACTCGCCGCACGGACTCCCCCAGCCGCCTGGGCGACCTGCATCTGACTTGTTCTTGGGGCACTCCCAGCTCGAGTGGCCCTTCGGGTGGCACGTGCTGCACCTCGTGAGCTTCATCTGCTGCTCGATGCTGAGCTTGGGGCGCTGTCGGTGCCGCTCTCCTCGGCCCCTGCCCGTGTCACGGGCTCGCCCTGGACGTCCGTCTCGGTGGGCTCGAGGCGGCCCTATAGGGGAGTCGCAGAGCCTCGGCCGTTGTGTGTTCGGCCTGCCACCGTAGCAGTCGCGATCCTTCTTGGCCGCACGCTTGATATCCTTGCTCTGCTTCCATGTCCTGCCGGTAGATCTGGTCGCCAGCAGGTTCAGCGCTCCCTCCACCTGATCCTCGTACAGGTCGAGGTCCTCGAGCTCGGCCATGAGCGCTGCCTCAGCGGCATGTTGGTCCTCATTATTGTCGTCCTCGGGGTCGTAGTCGCTGTCATCCTCGGACTAGTCACCATCGCCCGATCGAACCTGAGGATAGGAAAAGAATGGAGGATATCGACGCTGATCATCCCAGCCAGGGCCCTCGCGCTCACCGTCGACGGAAGCCAGCATGAGCCCATGGTTGGTTCGACGGGCAGCAACTTCTCAGAGCCGGTCGAGTCCATCAGCCTCGGGGTTCAGGCGACATTCTGGTAGTCAAGTTTCCCTCGCGTCAGGGTCCTGAGATTATGCATGCCCTGGGCGACAGGGTCAGGCCTGCGCCTGCCTTCAAGAGCAGCCCCTCAAGCTTGGGAGACAGCCGCGTGTCATTGCTCCCCGCTTCCGTAAGCTGTGCCTCCCGCCGGCTCGCGTACTGGATGAGGGTCTCCTTTTGCTCGCGAGTTGCCTGGAACACAGCCTCCGGCCTGTCCGTCGTAGGTCATCTCTTTTTCGTTCTCCTATCATTATGTCCATGCGTCCGAGTACAGCCTCGATCGTACTGCTCGTGAGGGTAAATTCGGGAATGTCATCAAACCTAGCCTGCATGTTTCAGTCGAACAGCTCTGGAAACTTCTCCGCTCGGCGCCAGGTCGTCACGTCTGTGATCTTATCCCATCCACGAAAAGCACGGCGCCATTGTCGACAGAAGTTCCAGCCCGGCCATGCCGGAGGATCAGAAAAGTCTTCTCGTCCGCTTGATGGCCAAGCCCTCGCTCGCCAGTCGTCCTGGCCCCAGCTGCTCGTACTCCAATCCCAGCCGGCGCCAGGCTTGAACCGGTCATCCTTGCACCAGTCGTCTTTGTCGTTGTTGCTTCTGTCGCTGTGGCCGTCCTTGTCCTTGGCCGCTCGTGCTTCTGCCTCGGGCACTGAGGAGTGTGACTGCTTCTTCGCCCAGGGATCGAGCTCGGCCTTCGTCCAAGGATCGGCACGCTGTATACTGCCCGCAGCTGTTGATGATGCCGTGGCTGACGGAGGTGATGTTGCCATCGTCTCTTTGACCACGCTCTTGACCAGCTCGGTCAGCTGCTCGCTCGTGAGGCTTGAAACGTGTGTGGTGATGGCCTCTGGGGTCGCTGAACTGCCGGCTGCCGGTTGCGAGACCGCCGGACACGTTCCAGCTCCTGGAGTCTGAGAGCCCTCGCTTGTGACCACTGCCAGCGCCTGGGACAACTGCCAGCACCAGCGCTTTGTCACGCTTGTCGTCGTCACCCACGCCGTGGATCCACGACGGTCGGACCTGGAGCGAGGTCCTCGCCGACAGCTCTAGAGAGCTCGGTGCCAGTCGCATCCCCAGCGCCGGCTCATGCCCCCGTTTGCCTCTCAGCGGGCTTCCCCGCTCCGCTACTAACTGCGGCTGCAGCAGTTACCCCAGACGCATTTTGGACTTGAACCAGAAAAGAAATTCAGGAGGAGAAAAAACACAGACACACTTAATCGTCGATTCCCAAAAAAAATAGGAAAACATGGGAAGTGGCGGGGAGTAAGACAAAAACCCAGAAGATATGGTAAAATATTGGGAATCCGGTTATTTGTATTTATTTGTGTGTCCCAGGGCCCCTTCAACCTACTTGACAAACTTGGCATCCTTCCACACACCTCCGATGAGGAGTACGGGCAGCAGGAGCAAGGATAATGAGGAGGCTGTTAGAGCGATAAGGAGGCGGAGGAGGAGGAGGAGGAGGAGGGGGAAGAGGAGGAGGGGGAGGAGGAGGAGGAGGAAGGAGGGGGGAGAAGAGAGGAGGGTGAGGAGTAGGCGGAGAGAAGCAGGCATGTAGAGGAGGATGGGGCAAAGGAGGAGGAGGAAGAGGAGGAGAAGGAGCGGAGGAGGAGGAAAGGGGGAGGCGGAGGAAGAGGAGGAGGAGGAGGAGGAGGAGGAGGATGCGCAGGGGGATGCACGAGTGGATGGAGGAATGATAATGCCGATTTCGGAGGAACGTGGTGTTGAGGAACGAAGAGCAAGAGCAGGCGCAGAAGGCGCAGGGAGGAGTAGGAGGAGGAGGAGGAGAAGCAGGAGGAGGAGGAGGAGGAGAAGCAGGAGGAGGAGGGGAGGAAGAGGAAGAGGAAGGAGGAGGAGGAGGAGGAGGAGGAGGAGGAGGAGGAGGAGGAGGAGGAGGAGGAGGAGGAGGAGGAGGAGGAGGGGGGGAGGAGGGGGGAGGAGGCGGAGTGAGAGGAGGAGGAGGAAGGAGGAGGACCTCCGTAGCCATTGTGGCTCAATTTGATAGCGTTTTGCTCAGGGCTTGGCATTGTGGCCTGGGGGATTCGCGGCCCCTACAGCTTTCCCAGGCGTCCGCCCGCCTGGCACATTTCCCCAAGACGTCCTGCTTAAGGAACTCTCGATTTCACAGTTTTACATCCGCCTTGCGATGGTGCCTGCCAGTTCTTTCTCGCTTGCGCCGTGGATGAAGTCCCAAGGTGCTGAGGAGCCATGGGTCACAAAGAGCAGTCGTCGGGCGCCGAAAGGGCATGGTGTGCCCCAGTCGTGGTTGCAAGAAGAACAGCGCCAACGCCGGTTATTGCAGGCACTGTGCCAGTGCTCTTCCGACGTTTTCTCCTGCTCGTGATCACGGAATAAATGGGCGTTGGGCTCTCGCTGGTCCCCCCGGCTTCTGGCACGGGAACGGCTACAGCTCCAAGGGCTCGGGCAACAAAGGCTCGTTCGGGGGTAAAGGCAAATGAGGAGTTCACGGCAATGGGAAAAAGGCAAAGGTAAAGGTTATTACGGAGGCGACCCCTCCATGTGGGATGCGCTGGTTCGCCAAGATGATGCACAGCGGGGAGATGCAGTTGGAGGAGGTGCCCCGCCACTTCCTGTGGGACCAGTACCGTCCATCTCCGCCGCAGAGGCCAAGTCTCGGGGCGAGTCGCTCCCAAAAGCGGGGGATCACAGAGCGGCTGCCAAGTACCTGGACGTGGCGCGTCGTTTGGAGGCGGCCAAGCCACGTGCGATGTCGGATCACACTCGCACGCAGCAGGCTCATTCCCATGTTCGTCGGCTCGAGAAGCAGATGGGACAGACTCTGAGTAAGGTGGTTCATGTGTGTGAACAGCGTGTGGATGCGGAAGCCACGTTGCGCACGGTGCGAAACCAAGTCAACCAGGCTGACGCTGACTACAAGGCCTCGCTCGCTGCGTTGCAAGGCTCCCACAAGTCTGAGGAGGAGCCGCAGGCCACGGTTGGCTCGTTCAAGCTTGAGGACCTGGTTGCATGCTTTGCCGACCTCTCAAAGTTCATCGGCTGCAGTCACATTATGGAGGATCTTTCGGTTGAGGCTGAGGCCGAGGCGAGTGACTTGGAGCAGTTTCAGAAGCGCAAGGAGGAGCTGTCTTCAGGGGTCACGACGCCGGCGAGGGAAATGCCCGCGCAGGTTGCGGACCATGCCAAAAATTTCGAGACCAGCACGGAGCTCATCGAACACGACTCGCTGCCAAGAAGCGCAAGGTTGCAGGTGGTGCAGCTATTGCAGGTGAGAGCTTGCGCAGGAGAGGTTGTTGGAGTGGCTGCCGCTGAACCTGGGGCGGCTTCTGAAGGTGCCCGTGCCTCTGCGCAGCCTGCCGCGGAAGCCGATGATGTTGCCCCCTTTTTCTCGGGACATTCGAGCTAGGTTTGACCAGACTTTCAAGGGGCCCCCGCCCCTTGCCACAGGCGCGCGACAGGGGGCGTGAATCTGAGAGCGGGGGGCCAAGCTTGAAACCCCACTGGGATCTTCTTAGTGCGTTGGCCTCGAGGGCGTCTGCGATTGGCGCCAGGTCCCAGGCCTCAGAATTCTGTTATTCGGGCGCCTCAAGGGCGCCTTCGGCCATGAGGCTGTCGGGGCCTCGATTGATGCACCTCTTTTGCCTTCTGAAATTCGGAGGCCCGCAGAAAACCAAGGAGCCGCCTGCGCCTCTCTGGCTCTGCCTGGCGCGGTCGGGGCACCGCGCGCTGCGAAGACTGGCGAGGCCCCGTCGGCGAGGCGACCAGCCGCGCGCATGCCGCAATCCGATGCCTCTTTTTCTGGTGCGAGCACGGCAAGAGCCTGGTCATGCACGCGTTCTGTCTCTGATGGTCTGCCAGCGACTTCAGCTCGAACCCCAGCTGCCCAGGGCGCGCATTGACTGCGCGATCAGGCTTAACGAGGGGCTCCTGGCCACCACTGTAAACGCCAACACTTGGGGCACACTCGAATGTTCCTCTCCACCTCGAAGGCCCACGTGGCGATCGCTCATGAGCATCGGTTGTTGGATACGGGGGCTCTCGACCAAGCTTCGAACTTTTCCAAGTTCCTGGGGCGGACCCCCCCCCCCCCCCCTGGGCCCCTGGAGTACCTGGGGCAGGAGGAAGTGCTTCATCGGGAGTATACGTTTGTGTTCGCAATGGCCTTGGCCTTTTCGAAGCTGGGGATGGCGTTACTTCATGCGCTGGCAGAGCTGCGGCGACCACGGTGCGCGTGCCAGATTGCGCCCCGATGTGCATCTGCAGCCTCTACCTCGTCCACAGCGAAGGTCCCTCTGGACCCAATATTGAGATGATGCGTGCTGAGTGCGTGAGTGCGCGTGTGGGGCGGGGTGAGGGCGGGGTGGGGGTGGTGGCGGGGGGGGTGCTCTCTGGGCTGCGAGTTCATTGGGGGGAGATGACGGGAACATTGGCCCTGAGGTCCTGGGGTCCTCGAGCTGTGTTCGTCGTCTCAGAGCCGCCTTGGTTGCGCCTGAAGGACGCGCGCACTTTCCGTGTAGAGGGGCCCTGATCGTTTTGGTTATTTTGTGGTTTCTGGGGTTTGATCCTCTGCATGAGACAGGTCGGAGTTGAATGCGACACTAGCATTGCCCCTCACCGCCGTGCGTCGCTCCGCTTTCGTAGCCCCCCTCGGAGATCTCAAGGCCCTCGCCTTCCGCCAGCTCCTTGCGTTGCCTGCGTCGGCGCCTGTTGGCCCTGCCCCTAGGCCTGGCCCCTGGGACGCCGCGCTGGTTTTGGCCGAAGAAGCTTTTAGTGCGGTGGAAGCAGGGGATGGGCTTAAAGCCCGTAGACTGCTCAATCATGGCTATAAGGTTTGGGCTTGCTCTGCGGAGGGGGACCTGGTGCGCGCCTTGGGGCCCGACCTCAAAATCCTAGGGATGCGGAGCAAACGGCCCCACGTTTACTGGACATCTGCTGTCAAACCTGCTGGCAGAGAGAAGCAGCCAGACTTGCGCGCTGCCCAGTGGTTGCGCAACCAGTTGCGAGCAGTCAGGCGCTATCTCTCTGAATCGCCATTGCAGGGGGCTGGGCGTCAGGTTCTCAACTCGATCATCCAGCCCCCTGAGGCCGTGGCGGTGAAAGAATGCACGGCTGTCCCCCCTTGCGTCAGAGTTGGCGGGGCCTTGGCTAGATGCGCCCTGGTGCTTGATTTTGACCCTGAGCTTCTTTCGGAGCTGGGCGACTTGGTCGCCCAGGTTGCTCTCGCCGTCTCCTCTGTTAAGGCCACCTCCGCGACGGAGTCGCGGAAAGAGTGGCGCGAGTGGGTGGGTGGGCGGGCGGGGGGGGCGGGCATGGGTGCCGGAGGTCGCAGCGCGCAAAAAAAGAACTACCAGGAATCCCGAGCCTGGGAAGCCGATCACCACCTTGTCTCGTTGTGGGGCAATTGTTTGCGACCCAGTCTCGTTGCTCCGGGCGGGAGGCGACAAGTTCGCCGCCATATGGGGCTCGGGCTCATGGGGAAGGAGTTGGACACGACCTTCTCCAGCATGCTCGCGTTTTGGAGCCTGCTGAGATCAGAGCTGCGTCTAGGAAGTATCGTCCTGCCTCTGCGTTCAGTACCGACGGTTGTCATTGCCGTCGCTTCTGTTTGCTTCCCAGTGAGGCTTTGCGTGCCCTTGCGTTGTGGTTTGCTGTCTGGGAGGCCACTGGGGCCCTTCCCGGCCAGCTGTCTTGGGCCCGCATGGCCCTTCTGGCCAAGCCGACTGGGGAGTCCGACCCATAGGAGTGCCCCCCAGCCTCTACTGCGTTTGCGGCCGCGCCCGTAGACACGACGCCCTGCTTTGGGAACTGAAGTACCCTGGTAGATATTGGGCCGCGGGCGCCTCAGGGGCGCGAGGGATGTTGTCTGGAGGCAGGCCGTCAGAGCTGAAGCGGGAACTGGGCGAGGAGACACTTCTGCTGCCATTTTTGTGTGACTTCCAGAAGCCTTATGAGCACATCGACCTTAGGTTTCCTTTGGCGCCTGTGCCAGAAGCATCATTTCCTTCCCCAGCTGGTTCGCTTGGCCATTCAGGCGCACTCTTGTGACAGGTTCCTTGCGTTGGGGGACATTATCCAAGTGCCTTGTTTTTCGTATCCAAGGGCCTGGTGGCTGGTTGCGTCCTGGCGACCAACCGTATCCGCGTTTTTGCGATGGAGGCCTTTGATCAGGTCCCCAGGGCCCCCGGCAAGAGTGCCGACTTCGGCGCTCACGTGGACGACCTGGGCCTCAGCTACACTGGGTCAGCCAAGACGGCCGCTGCCACCCTCGCTGCTGGAGCCAAGGCGCCCCACCGCGTCATCGCGAGCACGCTCGAGTGCAAGCTGGCGATGGACAAAGTTGGGATGGTTTGTAATTCTCTCGGCGCCCCGAGGCGTACAGCGCAAGAGTTAGGCCGACTTTTCGGTCCAGCTTGCTCTCGGGTGACCAATCTTGGTTCGGACTTTACCTCGGGCAGGCCGCTGAGAGGCAAGGGCCGATCGGCCAAGCTGAAGGTCCGAGCTGCGGCAGCGCCTGAGGGGCCTCGCCGAGGCCTTGGGGCGCAAGTGTTTGCGTGTTGTTGCGGCTGGACCTTTGGCTGGGGCCATGTATGGTTTTCATGCGCGCGGGGTCTCGGACCGCGGGCTGCTCGACATGAGGCGCATGGCCATGTCCACGGTGAAGCCTAGCTCAGGGGAGATCGCTCAGCGCATTGCGCCGCCTCTCTGATGACCCCGCGCGGCGCGGGAGCTGCGCCCCGATCATCCGATGGGCCAAGGAGGTCTGGACCCTGCGCACTCAGCCCCCCCCCCCCCTCTGGATTATAAGTTGGGCTGAGCTTAGAGAAGGTTGGCAGGCGTTTTTTCTTTCCTCGGATGAGCAACATTGGGCCTCTGTCTTGGGGCCGATCTCTGCGCTCAGGATGTCGCGTCATAGGCTCGGCTGGACCATGCCCAAACTTTGCGCGGTCATCAATGATTTCGGCCGCGAGGTCCCCCTCGCCCTTTCGCACCCCCCACCCCCAAGTTGGCCATTCTTTTTTTGCATGGAAGCGGTTATGAAGGGGGCTGGAAGGGGGCCCGGGGGACACGCATGGTTGCGACTTTCGGTTGTGCTGAGGCGGGGTAAACAGCTCCTGTCTTCCAAGGAAGGGATCGGAGAAACCGAACAGCTGGGTTCGAGCTCGTGGACCAAGGCATGTTGGACTGCGTTCGACGTCGCGGCAGCAGGCTACGCGTTCACCGGCCAGCGCGGGCTGCGCGGCACGGCTCGCGACGCCGTGCCCCGCAGGCTGTATGAGCGCCCGTGTGGACAGGATGTCAGAGATGCGGTCTTAGACGATAGCATTCAGAAGGGAGCGCCCGCGCTGGGTGCGAGCCATATGGGCATGCGCTTGTACCTTCACGGAGCCTGCAGACACCGTGGAGACTATGCCCCACCGCCGCGCACCGATGGAGGTACGAGTTTGGAACGGTTTGCACATGCACTTCCCGACCCTACCAATCCTGCTGCTGCCCCCTCCATTCCTCCCTCCGCAGGGCTCTGGGGGCACTTTTTTTTTAAAATGGGCGGCTCGTGTCGTGGTCACATTGTTCGCGAGTTATCTTGGGCTGGTTGGGCCGTGGCCATGGTCTCAAGTTCGGGCGATCGCCTCGGAGCGTTAAAAAGGTCATTTGTGGGCTCCGTGGCCCAAGGCCCTCCAAGGAGCGGAGTTTGGGGCCCTTGTTTGGACCCCTGTTCAAAACGAAGGCCCTTCCCAGTGTTGTTCAGACTGTGTTACTGTAGATCATGTGATGTATCTTGGACCTGGTGGTGGCATGTGCGCGAAGCGACAATATGCAGGCCAGATCACCCACGCGATGCATCCTGTTGGGCTTCGCCTTGAGTCGATCTCCAATATTGACGCCCGCAGATACTTCTATGAAGAAGGGCTCTCGGCGCGTGAAAGATCCCTGCGCCGAGGGGGCTGCTATGCTGATGCTTCTGCCGAAGAAGGGGCTGGTAAGCACCCTGCCATGCCCCCTGCTGGGCACGCAGTTTTTAACCATCAGAACAAAGTCTCGCGAGCGGTCTTGTTAGCGGGGTGCAGAGCATCTGCTACATGGCGGAAGCTCCTGAAGCGTATCCCTTCGCCGTCAGCCCCTGCGGCTCCTGTTTTAGATATCGTCCACGACTGGTCCCAACAAGGCTCGCGCTGTCGTTGTCGCGTGCGCCTCCGAGGGTCGAGGGCGTTGCCCAAGCCTTTCGGAAGACACTGCCTTGGGCAGTCTCGTTTGGACCAGGGACAGTTGGAGAGACTGGGCCACCGTGTCATTGCCTTCCCTTGCAGTGACGGTGGCAGCGGCGGTCAAGTTCTTGGCCCAGGCCGTAAATGCGGTCCTCCGACGGTGACGGGCGCGAAGAACATGCGCCGTCTCCGCAAAGGCCTGCACCCTGATAAAGAGGGTGTGCCTGTTGACATTGATGAATTCGTCCCACTGTTACAGTTCACAGGTAATGTCACCTGCCCATCCAGTGCGCCTCTGGCTGATGCAGACAGGTCACCTTCATTTCAGGGGCATGTGCGTTGTTGTTAAAAAGGAAGAAGGAGGAGGAGGAGGAGGAGAGGGAAGAGGAGGAGGAGGAGAAGGACAAGCTAGGTGCGCTCGCGCCAAATCTGACATCCTACTCCTCCGTCCCATCCCTTACCATGGCGTAGATCCCCTCTCTACTCGCACAGTCGGATGTCGAGCAGGGCAATGATCCCGGCATGGCATGGCGTAGAAGAGCACCGCAAAAGGGGAGTATGTCACAGCATGGCGTGGCGTGGCGAAGTGAAGACTTGCATCACAAAGCTTTGCAACGCAAAGCATGGCATCGCACAGCGGCCCCGAACATAACATTGCATAGCATGGCGTTGAATATCCAATCGTATCATGGCATAGCACGACGTGGCACTTAAGCACTGCATATCACAGCATCTGCTGAAGGCGTGGCACCGCACAGCGCAACGCAACCTAGCACTGCATTGCATGCCGTGGCATGGCACGGGAAATGACGCCAGCGCTGCAGCGGGAGCACGATTCGGAACGAGCGGAAGCGCGGAAATGAGGCCAGCGCTGCAGCGGGAACACGATTCGGAACGAGCGGAAGCACGGAAATGAGGCCAGCGCTACAGCGGGAACACGATTCGGAACGAGCGGGGCCCGTAAATGGGGCCGGCGCCTCAGCGAGAGCAGCATTTTGGATCAACATGCATGCGAAAACCTAATTCCGGGGACTCTTGCGTGTAAGAAAACAGTACGCGGGGGGGGGGGGGGGGGGCGAATATTCCCAAACCGTAATCAGGGGAAGGAGGAGAGTAGTATTCATGTTGAGTAATTGTCAAGGGGGACGAGGAAGAGGAGGAAGAGGAGGAGGAGGATGGGGGAGGAGAAGGATCAGATGGGGAGGAAGGAGACAGTACGGATGGAGGAGAAGGCCCGCACAGCAGCCGGCGGACCGCCGTTCTCGTCGGCGCTCGCCGCCCGCCGCTCGCGCGCCAGTTCATTTGGCGATTCTGCTTGGGCTTCGGCGCCCTCCTGGCACTCACGGGGGCGCTGCTGCGGGCGGAGACGATGCAGGAGTCGGAGGCGCGGGCGGGGGGTGAGGGGGAGCTCATCCTCCTCATCCTCGCTCATCTCGTTTTCCTCCTCGTCCTCCTCCCTCTTGTGTCCCCCCTTTTTTTCTCACGCACCGCTGTTCTCTTACTGACCCTATCCGGCCTCTGTTTTGGCAGCGCGCTCCTCTTTCTCATTCCCGTCTTCCCCTTTTTTCTCCGTCCTCATTTAGCTCACGTGATCATGTTGGCTCGGGTCTCGCGCGGGTTCGGCAATTCATGCCCTCGGAGGTCTATGCCAGGTTTGTTTTCAACCTGCACGTGTACCATGGCCAACAATGCACGATGACCTAAGCCATGACCACAACGCACAGGAGCTCGCGGATTGGTCGCAAGCTCGTGGTGCTAATCGTGCTGACAGGCATCGCCACAGTGTGAGGTGGTATATGCGTCGACTGTGGTGGGTGGACTCACGACTACCTGCTTAAATATCTGTGCCTCCATTGCAAGGGCTTCTTGGCGCCAGTCTCCCTGCTCAGCCTTTTCCTCCTCCTCCTCATCCCACCACTTTCGAGCTCTGGCTCACTGTTTGCGTCCCAGTGCGAGTTGATTACTTGTCTTGTCTGATGGCGCATGAAACATTGTCTTGGGGATTCCACTTCCTGTGACAAGTGGTTTTGTTCGTTCTGGGCGCGTGTGTTATGTTTATCATGCGGAGAGGCATGCGATTGAGCGGCATGACGCTTCGCTTCAGAGCCACGCGATTTATCTTTGGAAAATGGGTTCTTGCTCAGGTGTTGTGCGTGTCTTTCCTCGCCAGCTTAGCAGAATCAGGGCCTCGCGCGAGCAACCGCTTTCTGAACGTCAGTTTCCTACTAGCTGGGAGGGCTTCGGAGTTCTAGGAAGCGCATGCTGTCTCAGCAGCTCCTCCGCCTTCTTGCAAGGCTGCGCCCCCCGGACCACCCCCATCTGCGCGCCGCCCGCTCCTCGATACCTGGGGCGCCTCTGGCGCCGCCAAGCGCCGCGAACACCCAGCACGGAGCAGTTGCTTCGCTAGCACCCACAGCACTGACCCCCACCTCCCCTCCGTCCGATCCGAGCCAGGATTAAAGCTAAAGAAGAGGCTGGAGCCTCAGGGGCGAAGTAACTCGGGCCGATCCCCCTCCCGAGCTTTTGGTGCTGTCACCTCCCGACCTTTCAAGGCGCTGTCCATCCATCCATCCCCTCCGTCCGATCCGAGCCCTCCGCCTCCTCCTCCTCCTCCTCCTCCTCCTCCTCCTCCTCCTCCTCCTCCTCCTCCTCCTCCTCCGCAAGCAGCCCCGGGGGGCGGCCGCTGCGCGCCTCCGCCCGGGAGCCGGCCGCTGCCGCAGCGCTCTCGCTTGCTCGTCTCGGCGCCCGCCCCCGGGACAGGCCCTGCGGCGGCAGCCGCCCGTCGGTTCGCCGCCGCGGCCCGCGGCCCTCCCGAGGCCGAGGGCCGCGCCTCGCCCCGCCCGGGCGCGGGTTGCCAAAAAGCCCTCGCTCTGTCAGATCGACTACACGTAAGTCAGGAGGGAAAGAAACACACAGACACAATTAATCCTCGATTCCCAGGAAAATAGGGGAAAATATGGGAATTGGGGGGGATGACAAAAACCTAGAAAATATTGGAAAATATGGGTTCTATTTTTATTTGTGTATATTTATTTGTGTGTCCTAATTTCCCTTTAAAAAAGCCCTCGCTCTGTCAGATCGACTACACGTAAGAGTGACCTTTCGCCGGAGTGACCTTCGGTGCGGGCCCAATGGGCCCCCGCGATCGCCGAGCGCGATGCGGCGGTTGCGTCTCGCGCGCTCGTTCTTGGTCTCCCCGCGGCCCCCAAAGAGCCGCGCACCAAAGGTCACTCTTGCCCGGGGTCACTCTTGCGTGTAGTCGATCAGAACGCGGCATGTGCCGAGACCTGACAGCGGGGTGATGGTGGGAGGCTGTGCAGATCCCAGAGGTGCTCGGCCGGGCGTGGGTCGCAAGGCGGTTCCTGCGCACTGTCAGGGCTCTCGACCCCATCCCCAGGAGCTGAGGAGCCTTCAAACCCCTCCTCCCACCCCGTCCCCCCCCCCCCCATGGACGTGGTGGTGGAGGAAAAGGAGTCTCAGAAGCCGCGTTCTGACAAAGCGAGGTTTTGGCCTCGGTGCCAAGACCTGACAGAGGGGTGATGTTTGAAGGCGGTGCAGATCCCAGCGGTGCTCGGCTGGGCGTGGGTCGCAAGACGGTGCCTGCGCACTGTCTGCCATGGCTCTCAACCCCATCCCCAGGAGCTGAGGAGCCTTCCAGCCCCTCCCTCCTCTCGGGTCGGGCGAAAGGGGGGGATTGGGAAAGGGGGGGTTACGAAATCTGCTGCATGCAGCTGGTTTCGGCCCGACCGAGGGGCCCATTCCTCGATACATGGGCGCCTCCGGCGCCGGGAGGCGCCGGGGAAAATCAGCTACGCGAGCTGATTCTCAAACCCCCCCTTTGCTATCCCCCCCTTTCGCCCGGCCCGATCCTCCCCAGCACCCTCTTAGAGAGCCACCCAGGATGTGGCTTGCTCACAGGCGAGGGCGCAGCCCATGGCCGCCGACCGCCGCAGACCGGGGGAGGGACAGGCGCACTGTCTGTCATGGCTCTCGACCCCATCCCCAGGAGCTGAGGAGCCTTCCAGCCCCTCCCTCCTCCCCAGCACCCCCTTAGAGAGCCACCCAGGATGTGGCTTGCTCGCAGGCGGGGGCGCAGCCCACGGCCGTCGGCCGCAGCAGACCGTGGGGGAGGGGCAGCGCGCAGCGGCGGGGGTCAATGGGGCCCTCGCCGCGGGTGGTGCGGAACCCGACGGAGTGGGCGCGGACCTTGTCCGCGGGCGCTAGGAGGAGGAGGAGGAGGAGGAGGAGGAGGAGGAGGAGGAGGAGGAGGAGGAGGAGGAGGAGGAGGAGGAGGAGGGGGAGGGGGAGGTGGAGGAAGAGGAGGAGGAGGAGGGGGAGGGGGAGGAGGAGGCCTACTTGACGGCGCTCCAGACTCTGCGCAAGCATGGCTTGAGGGCGCAGGACGAGCTGACTCTCCTCCGCACTTTTGCGAACGGAGCCGCCCTGCACCACGCGCGAGCACACTTGCTCAGCGAGGCTTGGTGCGCCGACTACGACAGACGGGTCCTGGAGCACCTGGAGGGCGTGCTGGGGCAGCCCCTGACCGCAGCGGCGCGCGAGCAGGCTTGCCTGCCCCTGGCAGACGGAGGGCTGGGCATGCACAGCCTCGGAGAGCGCCGCCTGCCTGCCTACGTGGGCTCCTGGCTGGCCTTCCTGGCCGAGGTGCGCCGCGAGCTCGGGCTGCCTAGCCTCGAGGCTTTCGCCGCGGCCTGCCCCCAGACCTGGGCGACGGTGGCGGCGGCGGGGCGCTCGGCGGGCGCTGGGGCCGAGGACTGGCTGGGCGCAGCAGCGGAGCGCGAGGAGAAAGGGCAACGGCGCCTCTCAAGGCTCGCGCAGGAAAGGCGCCGCGCCCACTTGCTCGCCTCCCTGCCGCCAACCGAGCAGGCGAGCCTCCGCTCGGCCAGCGGGAAGGGCGCCGGGAGCTGGCTGCTTCCGCCCACAGAGCCAGACCACGCCCTCGCGGACGAGCACTTCCGCCCGGCACTGGCCCTGCGGCTCCGCTTGCCCCTGCCGCCGGGCGCCAGCGCAACCTGCCTACCTGCCTCCGGCGCCGCCCTGACGGCTCCTGCTGCGGGGCCGACCTGCGCGCGGACCCTGGGCATCCTCTGGGCTGCCCAGTCGGAGGCGGCACTGTGCTGAAGCACGACGGCGTCCGCGACTCGCTCGCGCGCTGGCTTGCGACGCGGGGCGCCGCGGTCGTGCGGACGGAGCAATTCGTCCCAGCCTGGGACAGACTGCGCCCTGACGGCACTCTGGAGGCCGCGCGGCTGGACGTGGCCTTCACCGACGCTGTCGCGGGGGTCACCTACGCCGACGTGGTGATCACCGACGCGTCTCTGGGCGCGGGCACGGCCGCGGGGCGGAGCCGGGCCGCGCGCGACGGGGCTGCGGCGGCGGCGGCGGGGACGCGCAAGCACAGGCGCTACCCAGGCCTGGCCCTGGTCGCCTTTGCCTTGGAGACGCAAGGGCGAGCCGGGAAGGAGGCGCAGGCACTCCTGCGAAGCTGGGCATTGGGCGACCCGGCGACGCTGACGGCGGCTCGCCAGAGCTTGGCCGCCGCCCTGCAGCGCGGCAACGCGGAGGCCTACCGCGCGGCCGCCTTGCCTGCTGGCGCGGGGCGACGCCTTGCGGACCGCGGCGGCCCAGGGCCGCCTGGGCGCCGCGCCAGACTGGGCTGAGCTGACTGACCGCGGGAGACCGGGGCTGGCGCTGACCAGGCGCCGCGCTGGCGCGGCTGCTGGGCGCCGGGGGGCGGCGCGGCGCTGGACTTCGAGCTGAGGGCGCCCGAGGCAACTGCGGCTGGCCAGAGGGCGGCCAGCGCTGCGCTGGACTCAGCACGCGCTGCGGGGAGGCGCCGAGGGGGGCTGGACTGCCGAAGCGGCTGGCCGGGGAGCGGCCTGGGGCGCGCGCGGAAAGGGCCGACGCCGAGAGCGCGGGCGCGCGGCCGGGCGCGGGAGGCGCTGGCCCAGCGAGCACGCCTCGGCCACGCACCACTGGAGCAGAAGCCGCGCAACGCGGCCGCCTCGACCGCTGCTGGAGAGCCAGGGCGGTTATCCGGCCGGGGCGAGCTTGCCCGCCCCGGCCGGGCGGATATCCGGTCGGGCGTAGGGCTTGCCTGACACCCGGCCGGGAGGTACCCGCGAAGGTGCCCCACCGGTTCGTCGCGGTGCTCGTGGAGGGTCTCCGGGCGCAAGAGCGGGCGCGACAGACCGCGCTCGCAGGGAGGAGGAGGAGGAGGAGGAGGAGGAGGCGGAGGCGGGAGGGCGGCAGGCGAGGCGGAGGCGAGGAGGAGGAGGGAAGGAGGAGGAGGAGAGAGGAAAGGAGGAGGAGGAGGAGGGGGAGGGGGAAGGGGGAGGAGGGGGAGGGGGGGAGGAGGGGAAGGAGGAGGAGGGGGGGGGGAGGGAGGCGGTAGGAGGGAGGAGGGGGGAGGGGGTGGGGGGAGGAGGCACACTGTCGGATGTGGGCGCGGTGGTGGGGTGGGTGGAGGGAGGGTGGGGGTCGGGAGTGAGAGGCAGAGGGGAGGAGAGGAGGGGGGGAGGTGGAGGGAGGAGGGTGCCGGGTGGGCTATGATTGGCGGGGCGGGGATGCCGCTGCGTAAAGGAGGGCCAAACACCCCGCGGCGGCGGGCCGCCGCACTTGCTTCGCCGCGGGCAAGAGTTGCACGGGCCCCGCGCTGCCACCAGCCCCCGCGAGTCAGGCGGAGAAAAACGTCGGCGGGGGGGTCACGGCCCCCCCGGCGGTGCATATGCTATGGGGGGGCCGGGGGCGCGGGCCCAGTCAGCATCAGGGGGCCCGCAAACGTGGCCACTGGACACTTTTGCGTGATTGTGGTTCAGCGGCGAGGGTTCTGACCCCAGCCGCGTGCGTAGCGTGCACTTGTGGGGACTTGGCCCCGCGAAGGCAGGGTCACCATGGGAAGGTCATGGCTCGCGCAATGTCCGCGAAAAAGGCCATGCTACCATAGCTGCTGCTGCAGCCTTTGTCACTGGCGGTGTCAAATAGGATCTGGATGCCAACCCCTGTCGATGGACAGGTGTTGGTCTCCACCCCAGGGCCGAAAGCTAGGCTGCCAATCCCTGTCGATGGACAGGCCCCCGTTTCTTCACCTACGGCATTGACGGTGCCAAATAGCCTAAAGCTAAAATGTCCATCCTTGTTGATGGACAGGTGCGGGCATCCCCCACCCACCAATGGGGGGGTGCTTGGAATGTGAACACTTGAGCCCGATTAGGCGGCCGTGGGAAGACCAGATTGTCGCTGCGGGCGCGGCAGTCACCACCCATGGAGCCTAGAAGAGGGGCCAATGAGGACCCGGCCGGGTCCCAAGAGGAGCCCCAAAAGGCTTGACGAAACATGAGTAGGTTAGCCCATGCTCAAAGGACGGGGGAAACTACTTGAGTTTCGGTTCATTCTGAGGACCGGGGCCCTCCTCGGTCTTTCCGACAATCCAGCTTGAACCAATCGGGGCCTTCAGGTTCTATCCGCCCTGACTGCACCATCCCATCGGGCGCTGCGTTCATGCTAGGCTGTCGCTCTCGAGGGACGGCAAGCTTCGTTGGACAAAGCCGGCGTTGTCTTGTGGGACCCCTTCCAGACAGATTTTCCCTGTGTCCCAAAAAGGTCCTGACCTTAAATGGTACAAGGGTGGTAATACCAGGTCACTGGCTCCACCCATGGGGTTAAGGCGCCCCGAAGCCATATCACTTCAAGTCCTCCTCCTCCTCCTTCTTCTCCGCCCCATCCTCCTCCTCCTCCTCCTCCTCCTCCTCCTCCTCCTCCTCCTCCTCCTCCTCCTCCTCCTTATCCTCATCCTGCTGCTGCTCCTCCTCCTCTCCCTCCTCTCCTTATCCTCATCCTGCTGCTGCTCCTCCTCCTCCTTCGCCTCCTCCTCCTCCTTCTCCTGCTGCTCCGCCTCCTCCCCCTCCTCCTCCTGTTCCTCCTCTTCCTGCTTATCGTCCTCCTCGTCATTCTCATCGCCCCTTCTCCTCATCATACTGCGCCTTCTCCTCCGCCCCATCAATCATCATTATCCTCCTCCTCCTTATCCTTCTCTGTATCCTTCTCCTAAGTCTCCTCGTCCTCTGTCTCCTCCTCCTCCTCCTTCTCCTTCTCCTCCTCGGTCGCTTCATGCTGCTGCTGTTCCTCATCATCATCCTTCTTGCCATCCTCCTCCTCATCATCCGTCTCATCCTCCTCATCATCCTCCCTATTCGGATTCACATCCTTCTACTCTATGTCCTCCTCCCCCTTCTCCGCCTCCTCCGCATCATCATCTTCCTTCTCCTTATCCGCCTTCACCTCCTCATCCTTATCCTGGTCCGCCTTCTCCGCCTGCTGCTGATGTTCCTCCTCCTCCTCGGTCTCATCCTGCTGATGTTGCGCCTCCTCCTCCTTTGCTCATCATCCTCCTTCGCCTCATCCTCCTCCTTCGCCTCCTCCTCCTCATCATGATCCTTCTCCTCCTCGTCTCCGTCTCCTCATCTTTCTCCTCCTCCTCTTCATGTTTCTTCTCCTCATGAGGTTGATCCTCCATGTCATCATCATCATCATCATCATCATCATCATCAGCAGCAGCAGCAGCAGCAGCATCATCAGCATCATCATCCGCATCCTCATCTTCCTCCTCCTGCTGATGCTCCTCCTCCTCCTCCTCCTCCTCCTCCTCCTTCGCTTCATCGTCCTCCTCCTACTTCTCATTATCCGTATCCTCCTCCGTCTTCTCCTCATCCTTGGCATGCTGTTGTTCCTCGTCCTCCTGCTCCTCCTGCTCCTCCTCCTCCTCCTCCCTCTCCTCCTCCGTCTCATTCCCATCCGCATCGTCCGTCTCGTCCTCCTCTTTTTGTTTCTCGTTCCCGTCGTGTTGTTGCTTCGCTGCCGCTTCCTCCTCCTCCTCTTCTTCCTCCTCCTCCTCATGATCATCATCATCATCCTCTTCCTTCTCCTGCTGCTGATCCTCCTCTCCTCCCCCTCCTCCTCCCTCCTCCTCCTCTCCTCTCCTCCTCCTCCTCATCCTCCTCCTCCTCCTCCTCCTCCTCCTCCTCCTCCTCCTCCTCCTCCTCCTCCTCCTCCTCCTGCTCCTCCGCATGCTCCTCCCCTCCTCCTGCTCCTCCTCCTGCTCATCCGCCCGCTCCTGCTCATTATGCTTCTTAACATCATGCTGCTGCTTCTCCTTCTCCTCCCCCTCGGGTTCTTCCTCCTCCTCATCCTTCTACTCCTCCTCCGCCGCCTCCTCCCCCTCCTCCTGTTCCTCCTCCTCCTCCTCCTCATCCTCCATCTCATGGTGCTTCTCGTCGTCGTCCTCCTCTTCCTCCTTTTTGCTCCTCGTCCTTTTACGTGTCCTTCTCCTCCTAGTGTTCCTTATCGTCCTCCTCCTCATCTTCTTCCTCATGCTGCTTCTCATGTCTCCTCCTTCTCCTCCTGCTGTTGCTCCTCCCCCTGTTCCTGCTCCTGCTCCTCATTCTCCTCCTCCTCCTCCTGTTTCCTCCTTCTCATCAACCTCCTCCTCCTCATTATCTTCCTCCTGCTCCTCCGCCTCGTCCCGCTTCTCCTCCTCCTCCTCCTTCTCTTCCGCCTCCCCTCTTGCTCTTCCTTCTCTTCCTCCTCCCCCTCTTTCTCCTCCTCCTCCTCACCATCACCAACATCAGCATCAGCATCATCAGTATCATCAACAGCAGCATCATCAACATCATCATCAGCATCATCATCATCGTCATCATCATCATCATCATCATCATCATCATCATCATCATCATCATCATCATTATCCTTATCCTTATCCTTATCCTTATCCTTATCCTTCTCCTCCTCCTTCTCCTTCACAGTATCCTCTTGCTGGTGCTGCTGCTGCTGCTGCTGCTGCTCCTCCTCCTCCTCCTCCTTCTCCTCCTATTGCTCCTCCTTCTCATCCTGCTCATTATCCTCCTCCTCCTCCTGCTCCTCCTCCTCTTCATCCTCCTCCTCCTTATTATTATCATCCTTATCCTCCTCCTTATCCTTCTCCTTCTCCTCCTACTGCTGCTGCTGCTGGTCTTCCTCCTCCTCCTCCGTCTCCTCCCCCTCCTCCTCTTCCCTTTCCTCCTCCTTCTCCTCCTCCCCCGCCTCCTTCTTCTCTTCCTTTCTCCTCCTTCTGCTCCTCCTCCTCCTTCTCCCCTCCTCCTTCTCCTCCACCTCCTCCTGCTCCGCCTCATCCTTCTCCTCCTTGTTCGTCTCCTTCTCCTTCTCTTTCTCCTTATCATTATCTTCCTGCTGCTGCTTATCCTTCTCCTCCTCCTCCTCCTCCTCCTCTTCCTCCTGCTGTTGCTGTTCCTCCCATTATCCTCAGTATCCTCCTCCTGCTCCTCCTCGTCCTCCTCCCCTCCTCCCCTCCTCCTTCTCCTCCTCCTCCTCATGATCCTCCTTCTCCTCCTCCTCCTCCTCCTCCTCCTCCTCCTCCTCCTCCTCCTCCTCCTCCTCCTCCTCCTCCTCCTCCTCCTCCTCCTCCTCCCCCCCCTCGTCCCACCCTGTGGAGGCCTGGCTGGCTTCGCGGGCGTCCGCCAGGCGGACTCGCGTGTGCGGCAGCGGCCTCCTGCAGGCGAGAGAGCGCCGTCTGTCCTGGGGCCCGCCTCTGCCGCTGCTTCTGCCGCTTCCGCTGCCGCTGCCGCTGCCGCTGCCGCTGCCGCTGCTGCTGCTGCTGCTGCTGCTGCTGCTGCTGCTGCTGCTGCTGCTGCTGCTGTGGGGGTCGGCCAGGGCGCCGCGCTGGGCGCCCAGAGGTGCTGCAATATCTCTCGGGCCCGAGCGGCCCACAGGGTGCCCCGGTGCGCCCCAACATCCCCGCGATAGGCTCAAGGCGCGGTCTTGCGGTCTTGGCCCTGTGCTCGCTTCTCGGGTCATGGCGGCAAGGGGGGGATGAGGGAGTGGGAGGTGCAGCAGTTGCCTCGTGCAGCTGGCTCCGGCCCCGCGGGCAGGCGCTTTCCCAGATACATGGGCGCCGAGAGGCGCCGGGAGAACCAGGTAACTACGTGAGCTGATTCGCTCCCCGCCCCCCGCTTGCGTCCGACCCGAGCTTCTCAGCGCCACCCCGACGGGTGCCTTGTAGAATGATGCCCTTCGGCAGTGCGCAGGAGAGGTGTTCAGAAGTGAAGGCAGGAGGCGCCGCGTTCTCGCGCGGGGATGGTGCAGGCAGGGATCGGCTCCGATCCCCAGCGATCCCCCAGCGAAACCTCTGGGGGGGTCCTAGGGATCTGCTGCAGATCCATACACCTTAGGCGATGTTTAAGAAAACTTAAATTTTCGGCCATGGTCTCGATTATTCTTAATGTTTCAATGTAAATCCTAAGATTCGAATGGGCATTCTGGGTTTTTATTTAAATTCTGAGACTATCAATTTCTTAACCCATGATTTCTAAAGTATTTCGCAGGGTGTATGGGGGGTCCCTCTGGATCGGCTCGGATCCCCAGTGGTGTCCCACGTAAGGGCTCGTAGGAAGGTAGATAGAAGCGAAGCGCGCCACGTTCCTGCATTGGCCAAGGCTCCTGTCTGCTTCATTGCCCGTCAGGTTGGCGCCTGGCCACGTCTGCGAGCGGCCGTCGCTCCGGGGGGGTGCGCCGTTGGCTTGTCGCAGAACCGGGGGGGAAGCAGAACGGGCCGTTTTGGGCAGCCTCTCAGACTGATTCCTTTGCCGGGCGAAACAAGTACAGAACACAGTTTGAAGAGACGGTTTTCGTGGTGCTGTCCATCTGGTGCAGTCTCCCTGCGGTTGAGGCGGCCCAGAGTTATACCAGAAGTTTCAGCTTTGCGCATGCTCAGCATGACCGTCATTTTCGTCACCGTCGGCATCATGAATTTCAGCGTTTTCCTCGTCCTGCTGCTTTTCATCCCCCTCGCTCGCCATCTCCTAATTTTTGTCCATCTCTTCCGTTTTCGCTTGTGCGCGTTCCTTCCCATTGTCTAGGCGCGATCTTAGAGCCAGATGGCCGCTGCGTAACTTCTGCCCACCTGTTCATCTAACCCCCTGAGCTCTACTCATCCATTATCCCGCGTCATATCATCCCGCCTTCCGTCTCCTCCCCCGTTTGCCTCTTTCGCCCTCCTCCATGCGCAGAAACGTGACTCATAGAAGACGCTGCGGCGGCACTGACGCCCACATGAATAATCGACGAAACGCAAGTTGCATGTGCATCGGCACACGGCACAACTACGGGTGCGGAATCCCTGCATTGATCCTTGCATTTAACCACACATTACTTGATGTATGCTCGGTGCGCAGTTCCATTCCGAACGGATGTATATTTCGAAATGCATGTTGAGTGCGAGTAGATGTGCATATGCATGTGCAGCCCGGCCAGAGCTGGATGTTCATATTGATACGCATGTCGAACTATATGTCGATGTGCAGGTTGGCTACAACACGAGTGCACTTGGATGTATATGGATGTTCGTTTCGATATTAATTTTCGATGGCATGTCGATGTGCTTTGCATTTCGATGTTCACGTCGACCGCATTTGCATGTGGATGTGCACTCCGATTTACATGTCGGACTATCATGTCATTAGCAGTTCGACTTGCGCATTTCGGAGAGCGATTCGTGCCACATCGGATTCGAAGTTCGATGCGCGTTGCCCACGTGGCAACCTCGGGATCACTACCGGACAACCCGCGGGGCAACCACGGGACAGCCCGCCAGGCAACCCACGGGACAACCACAGGAAGACCCAGGAGGCACTCCACGGGACAGCCATGGGAACCTCCATGGGACGCACAGTGCCGGTTCAATGCAGTGGATAACCACGGGACAACCACATGATAGCTCAGATTGTCGGGCCAGCGCGAGACGGAACGAGATTCTCATTGCCCGACTTGGCCCGAGCTTCGACCAGTACATCGTGAGGCCCCTCCTGCACGCCCGACACAAGCGAAACCGAAACCGATTTCCCAGTTGGGGCCACCTCGCTCTCACATCCCCAGCTTCAGACACTGGGGGAAAGTCAGTTTTAAGGGAGGGAAGCGTGGAGAGGTTTCGGGGCGAAAAGGTGGAGAAGCCTTCGCCGAGGCCAGTGGGGGCAGCACAAGTGCCTTTCTCTTGTTCTTCCGCCTCCCCCCTCTCCGCTTGTCTCTGCGCTAGAGTGCGGAGCAGCCACGGGGATTTGCGGCCCTCGGAAGCAGCGGCAGTTTCAACAGAAACGATGCGCGGGGATGACAGCCATGAGCGAATCTCCCGGGGGTCACCAAGGCTGTGCTACCGATTCAAACGAGCACCGGGATCCTTGCTTCGAGAAGCAAGGGGATGACATCAAGGGCCAAGAAGGTCCAGGAAACAGTGATACCTCCGCAACGGTGCAAGCTGAAGCCACTCGGCGCTTTGCGGAGGGAGGAGTAAGAGGGGCACGACGTCGGCATGGAAAAGGAGGACATCTCACTCCTCTTTCCTCTCTTCCTCTCCCTGATCCTTCTCTTCCCCCTTCACCCAGGGGGGCGAGGAGGAGCTAAGGAGCAAAAGGCAGAAGGAGGAGGGGGACAGAGAGATGAACAGGGCGAGGATACGGAGGAGGACGCGGAGGGGAGTATCTGAACTTTCCCTCCTCGTCCCTCTGATCTTTCGCGCCCCCCTTCGAGATGAGAAGCCCTCGAGGTGCAGAATGGGTTGAGCGAGAGAGGGATCGGGGTGGACGAGAGGGGGGGGGGAATGGGAAAGGGGGGCGGCGCGCGAGCTGCTGCGTGCAGGCAGCTGGTTTCGACTCCACCTCCGGGCACCTTCCTGACACACGGCCAGCTCCGGCGCACCGAGGCGGTGGAAGAACCAGCCACGTGCAGCCGATTCGTTCTCCCCCTTCTTCTGCTGCTCCTCCCCCCCGAGTCGCCTGCCCCGAGGGGGAAGGGACGAGGAGAAGAGAGGGGAGGGACGATGGGACAACGACGAGGAGGATGAAGGCGATGAGGAGGAGGAGGAGGAGGAGGAGGAGGAGGAGGAAGGAATACCATCTTACACACAACATGGGCTATCGGAGGTCCGCGCGGATGTCTTGGATCGGCGCAGGACCTCCCTCCGTGGCGCGCGGAGCGCGTCAGGGGCGTCGCCAAAGGCGCCACCAAGTGGTCCAGCGCCGATCCAAGGAATTCGCACTGACCTCAAGCAGTCTATGTTTTTTTTTGCAAAAAAAAGAAAGAAAAAAAAAAAAAAAAAAAAAAAATGACGAAAAATAAAAAAATAAAAAAAAATAAATAAAAAAAAAAAAAAAAAAAAAAAAGGACGATGAGGACGAGGACGGAGACGAGGGCGAGGGCAAGGGCGAGGACGAGGACGAGCTGCGGTTAGGCGATCTGGCTCCCGCTGCTCGGGACGACGTCCACGTACTTCCTCTACGACGTGGTCTCGTGGGGCGTCGGCAGCCGCCTCCCGCCTCGCCGCCCCCCCCCCTCCCCTCCCCTCGGAGGACGATGAACCCGGCGCGGCCTCCGAGCCTGCGCGGCATCCTTTGCTCTTTGGGCTTCGCTGGCATTGCCTGGGCCCTGCTGGCACCACCTGATTTGGCAGCAGGACAACTGGGCTCCTCCTCCTCGTCGTCCTCCTCCTCCTCCTCCTCCTCGTCCTCCTCCTCCTCCTGCTCCTCCTCCTCCTCCACCTCCTCCACCTCCTCCTCCTCCTCCTCCACCACCTCCTCCTCCTCCTCCTCCTCCTCCTCCTCCTCCTCCTCCCCCTCCTCCCCCCCCTCCAGCCACGTCGGCTCTGCCAGGAGCGGGGCAGCCTGGAGAATCTGGGCAACCCTGGCAACCCGGGCCACTGGGGCCTGGGCAACCAGGGCAGCCGGGGCAGCGGGCTTCAGCGGGCCACGCGGGCAACGGGGCGGCGCGGGCGACCAGGCCGGGCGGGCCACCGGGCAGTCCAGGCAACCCGGGGCACAGGCACAGGCCGGCGCAGGCCGCGCGCAGTAGGTGGTCCTCCGAGAAGCAGGGCCTCGGCACGAACGGAATGGGTACGGTCAAGACGCTGAAATAAGGATCGGAGGTGGACAGGCCTCCTACCCGGACACGTCGATTGGCGAAATGGCCGTTTTCGGTTCGCGAGAGGGCGTCGCGGCCGTTATGTTTGCGGGTCCAGGTCCGTCGGTTTCGGTCCCAGGCCGTTTTCACTAAGGAGAGGTCTACGAGAGGGAGGTTTGTCCACCGCCGAAAGGAACAGCTTGAGTTCGGAAGGGGCTCGATGTTCCTTGGGTTCCTCCAGTGCTGTTCCTCTTGCCCTCCTGGGGCACGGAGGCGCTTACAGGGCCAAGAAGGGGCTTCGTTCCTTGTTTGGCGTTCCCTCTCTCAGCGGCCCGACGGTACGGAAAGAAGAGGCACAGTGCCCAACAGCGGTTCCTGTTCCTTCCGAACCGGACTCGCTGTCGGTGTCGCCGTGGCCCGTGTACATTTGAGACAGGCAGCCGCCTGCCCAACAGCGGCCACTGCTGGTTTGGGACAGCATTTGTTGTTGGGCATTGTGCCCATCTTTTCCGTACCCATTTCGGGCGTCCAAAGAGCCTTCAGGAGGCCTGCCGGGAGCCCCTGACAGTCTGTCCTTTGGGCCCCAAGGCTCAAATCGGGTGTGGTAGGGCCCTGGAGCACCTAAATTTGCCAGAATCTCTAAACCAGGTCTGCAGTAGCTGGTGTTTTTGTTCGGGTGACGGCAGTTCCGGTTAGTGGAACGGGGCGGGGGCGCGTCCCACAGTACACATCATTAAACCAGGTCCCACTAAACCCAGTTATGCCAACGCCCGATCAAAGCTCAGAGGGCCCTAGAGAAGCGCGCAATGCCTCGCGGAACGGTGGCCGACTGTATATTTGATCATTCGTTTTTTGGTGTGGAGTCGCATCAATATCTGCCTTCGAGAATTGAGCTCCCGCTGCAGGGCTGGCTCCTAGCCTGGTTGCGCAGCAAATGACGGGTCAAATCTTGCAGTTGCCATTTGGGCACCGAGACCCTCTGGAATACCCCAGTCGGCGGATAGATAAGAATCCAACACAATGGGAAGGGATGGGTGGGAGGTGTAGTATGCCCGACGTCGCGTGATCTCACCAAGTCGGCCCCCCCCCGTCCATACTTATCCTCGTGCTACTCGTGCTCGTTCTCCTTTTCTTCCTCCTCCTCGTTACCGTTCTTCGCCTCGTGCTCTGCGTCCCCGCTTCTCACGCCCCCTCATCCCCTCCCTCCGCCTCGGCAGCTACACGTCGTCCATCTTCGAATCCAGCACCCGTGCTGGCACTCTCTGGTACATGCTGCTCATAAACGCCATGGCGACGCCAGGCGCTCGCGCCCCGAGGAGGCGGGGAGCGGGATGGGGCAGCAGAGATGGCAGAAGAGGGCGAGGAGGAGGAGGAGGAGGAGGAGGAGGAGGAGGAGGAAGAGGGGGAGGGGGAGGAGGGGGGGGGAGGAGGAGGAGGAGGAAGGCAAGGACGGAGGAGGAGGAGGAGGAGGTGGAGGAGGAGGAGGAGGAGGAGAGAGGAGGAGGATGGATAGGGGCAGGAAATGAACGGATTGACCGTAGCAGTGGTGAGCGCGGGGGCGCCGAAGAGGTGGAGGAGAGGAGTCAGGAGGAAAACAAAAACACACAGACACCAATTAATCGTCGGATCCCCAGGAAAAGATGGTGAAAATAATGGGAAGTGTGGGAAGGCAAAAACCTAGAAAAGAAAATATATTATCCGGCACAAAGCAACCGAACAGTGATGTGTAGGAGCATATCTGGAAGCATTCCCTTTAAGATTCAGATGAGAACCCAGTTGTAGAATTCTGCTGTTCTCGCAGTCGTAGTCGCATTCGCGATGACAGTCGCAGTGGCAACGGCAGTCGCAGTCACAGCCGCAGCCTCAGCCTGCCTCAGCCTCAGCCTCAGCCTGCCTCAGCCTCAGCCTCAGCCTGCTTCAGCCTCAGCCTCAGTCTGCCTTCAGCCTCGGCCTCAGCCTCAGCCTGCCTCAGCCTGAGCCTGCCTCAGCCTCAGCCTCAGCCTGCCTCAGCATCAGCCAGCCTCTGCCTCAGCCTCAGCCTCAGCCTCAGCCTGCTTCAGCCTCAGCCTCAGTCTGCCTTCAGCCTCGGCCTCAGCCTCGGCCTGCTTCAGCCTCAGACTGCCTCGGCCGCAGCATCAGCCTGCCTCAGCATTCAAAATTTGTGGCCAAGGAACAGAGTTTCTTGGAACTCGAAGAACATGAAGTTGCTACAGTTGGCTCCGGCCTTCAAATGTGGCCTGGGAATGAAGTTTCTGGGAAGTCGAAGAGCACGAAGTTGCCTACAGTTGGCTACGGGCATTCAAAATGTGGCCCGGGAATGGAGTTCTGGGAACTCGAAGAGCACGAAGTTGCCTAGAGTTGGCTCCGGGCATTCAAAATGTGGCCCGGGAATGGAGTTCTGGGAACTCGAAGAGCACGAAGTGGCCTACAGTTGGCTCCGGGCATTCAAAATGTGCCCGGGAATGGAGTTCTGGGAACTCGAAGAGCACGAAGTGGCCTACAGTTGGCTCCGGGCATTCAAAATGTGGCCCGGGAATGGAGTTCTGGGACGTCGATGAGCACGAAGTGGCCTACAGTTGGCTCAGGGCATTCAGAATGTGGCCCGGGAATGGAGTTCTGGGAGGTCGAAGAGCACGAAGTGTGTGACAGTTGGCTTAAAACGACTTCTGCGGCACCCTGTCCGGCACCCGCCCAGACCCCCTTGTGGAGTCATCTGCTGCTCTCTTTTGACACCACTAGAAACCTATCAGAACAAGCTGTTAGGTAATGAAAATATGGGGAATATGTTTATTTGTGTGTATTTATTTGTGTGTCCCAGGGCCCCTTCAGGGAGGGTGGACGGCGGAGGAGGCAGGAGGGAGGGCGAAGGTCGAAAAACAGCATACTTCGTACACATAATGTCTTGGAGTTCCGCGCGGATTTTTGTTGGACCGGCATCGGGCCTCCTTGGCGGCGCCTCTTGCGCCAGAGTTGGCACCCTGCACGCGCCAGGAACGGGAGGCCAGCGCCGATCCACCGGTCCTGCCCTGCCAGCGAAGGGGGGAGAAGGGACGGGAGGGGGAGCGGTGCTATAGTCTAGTTCAGTTCCGGGTGTGTCTCGGAGATGGTTCGTGGCTCGGAGGTCGACTTGTTGCGAAAAGTGGTGTTCCCAGCCTGTTGTTCTGAATTTGAGCGCTGCGGAGAGAATCGAGGCGAAATGGATGGAAAGAAGATGTGTCCAGAACTCTGCCTCGTCCAGACGAGCTGAGCATATGGACTGTGAAGGCCGTGCGGCCGGTGCCGCCGACCCTGAAAGAGGCGTGTGGGAGGCAAGGACTCGAAGGGGAAGCTTCTCCCACGAAGGGGTGCTCCCCCACGGGGGGTGGGGGTGGTCACGTCCGATCGATCAGGACGAGATATCATCTTGCAATCTCCTGGAGCCTCCTGGGAAATCCTGAAGCCTCCGGGGGCTTCCTGGGCCCTCCTGAACCTCCTGGGGCCTCACGGGGCCTCCTGGAACTGCCTGGGGCCTCTTCGAGCATGGTGGGATCTCCTGGTGCTTTCTGGTGCCAGTTGACTCGTGGGGCATGCTGGAGCCTCATGGAGCTTACTTTAATTTTCTGGTGACTGGAACCTCCTGGAATCTCCTGGGGCCTCCTGGGATCTATTGGGCTCTCTTGGGGCTTCTTGGGGCCAACTCTCGCGCAACATCAATGAACCCAATATTGCGAGGATGTCGCAGGTAATACAAGCTGGTCCACCTCTGGTCAGAGCATGTGGGAGCTCGGAGTTGCACTGATGTTTCTGGCGAAACGGGCCGGGTCATCTTCGCACGGGCCTTCCGAGCCGAGAGTTGCGAGGAAGTCTCTGGCGGATCGGGGTGGGCTGTGGATGGGGCGAGCACAGGGGGAACGGGGCCGGAGAGACGTATGGGGGGAGCGGCAACAGGATGAGCGCAAGGAAGGGAGCCAGGGGAGTGAGCGCAGGACGGAGGGGAGGGCATGGCAGGGAGACACGGAGGGGAGGGAGACAACGGCCGAGTCTTCTTGTCTGGCGCTCGAGCGCGCCGTGGAACTCCAGGGCAGCCGCCGGAGGGCCCCGCGGAGGCCCCGAGCAGGGCCCCGAGGGAGCGCCCACGGGCTGCCCCCCTTGGGCGCACCCGGCCCCAGTGGGCACCAACACCGGCATCGGCGGTGTGCCTCCTCGCCGAGGGAAGGTCGGGGGCGGCAGAGAGGGGGGCGATGACTAGGGGGGGGTGGATATCATGGCGAGGGCCATGATATTTTCCCAGATTTCATGGCGCCTCTTCTTGTTTCATTACGTCCCCAGCCCCCCCCCCCTGGCCGCGCACATGTCGCCGGTCATGATTTGCACCCCCCCCCTCTGGGACACCCCCCTCTTGGCCGCTCCCGAGGAGTCGGGGGCGGCA